TGAATGTCTAATAGGGTTTGAATTTATTTTTTTAAATATGAATTTTCCACCTCTCCAAACAGGAGCATCATAAAAGATCAATTCCTAAGGATACCTGGAACCTTCTTCTAGACTTTAGTACAATGATAGCAGATGACATGTCTAACTATGATGAGGAAGGTAAACATTGCCATTTTCTCTCATTAACTTCTAACTGTGTTTTATGTTACATTTATTACTGTGCATCTGCTTTGGCACAACCTCAAAAGCAGCTCCATTAAAGTATTTCTGGTGATCTGAAGTCCAGTTAGGGCTGCTTTAATGCATGTTGTAATCAGATCTGTTATTAATGTTTTAAAAAGAAATGCTGGCGCTTTCACGGAATCCATTTTCTTTCTTTGTTCTAAGCTCAGCCACAAATTCTTTCTTACTGAGACAACCTCAAATTCTTTCTTATTGAGACAAACCCTGCTATATGTCCATTTCAAACCCACAGATTCTGTGTTGGTGCAGTTCTGGCATCTTCATCCAAGTAACTGATCCGTGGTTTGTGCAGCTCTGTGTAGGGTCCTCTGGTTACTGCATTTCATAGCTGAGGATGTTTTGAACTCTGGTTGCTTCAGTTTATGTGAGCCTTGGACATGTTCTGACATAGAAGTGAAGCTGGCAGCACAAGGGGCTGCTGAACAGAACTCACTTCCTACCAAATGTGTTTCTTGTAAATTCTGTATCGATCTTTCCCCTTCAGCCCATGTGCAGCCAAGAACAGCTGACTGCCCTCAGCCCTTGGCAGCACATCTTCAGTGAGGGGGGAAACTCAACTTGGGATGCCTCCAGAGCAGAGGGCAGCAAACTGCTCCAACTTTATTTGTAATTATGGACCGTCCTCATTCCCTTGTCAGTGTTGAGTTAGGATTTTGGTCAGTTTTTTGTTTTTGTCTGGAAGATAACCCTTGAAAGTGATGTGTATTAACTGGCTTTAAAGGAAGCAGAAATATTTAATCAGCTCTTAAATTTCAAGCAGGAAAATAAAATTATATTTTTTTGCTTCAAACTCTGCCTAGTTTAATACTGGAAAGCAAGTATCTTGTCTGGATATGAAGCTTGTGAAAGAATGCCTTGTTGAACCAAGTTCTTACATCCTGATGTTTTCCTCTTTTAGGGGCATGGCCAGTTCTTATTGATGACTTTGTGGAATTTGCACGCCCTCAAATTGCTGGGACAAAAAGTACGACAGTGTAGCACTAAAGGACCCTTCTAGAGTGTACATAGTCTGTACAATACCTGAAATGGAAAATTGCACAGTCAATTTCTGCTGGCTGGACTGAACTGAAGATCAATCCTCACAATATGGCTGAGGGTTGAGACAAACCTTTAAGGATACATCTTGGACCATATCATATTTCATTCTTCTACTGGTGGTTTGGGCTTTTCTTCTAGTCTGGACCACTCTTGCCCGTTAAAATTCCAACACTGTGGATTTCATCATGGATTTATTTTTTGTTGGTGGATCACCCTAGTTTCATCTCTCATAAGTCCTAGAAGCTTTATTATTATTTTGAGGTTTCTGATTTCACATAAAGCACAACGCTGGTCCATCATCAGACAACTGTTGTATGGCATCTGAATCAAAACAATTTTTAAAAGAACCCTTAAATACACACTTGGGGCTCGTTGCAAAGACTGTACTGATAGCACTTCCTGCAAGAGTGATATATTTAAGTGTACTGGGTCCGAGTTTTTTCTTTTCTGGAAAAGTGCAGGTGTCGTCTGAGTTTGAGTCTCCGGTCACAGCAGTGGCAGCAATGACCCAGGAGCCCCAGGGCTGTTGATTGGAGGTCTCTGGTGCCTGGCTGAGGCTGGCTGAGGCTCAGCTGCTCTGGGGACAGCTTGGGGACAACACGACTCGAGCACTTCCCCCGTGGGCCACGGCAGAGCCCGCAGTGGGCCGAGCTGTGTCCCCACAGAAGGCAGCGTTCTCTGGGTTCCTCTCTAAGAAATCAGATTTCAGTACAGTTTTGAAATGCTTATCTGTCTGTCAAAGAAAGGTTTTTCATTTCTGTGGAAATCAAACACTTGAATATACTGAATTTGTGTCTTAACTGTTTGCTACACAATACAGTATTTTAAATTGAGACATGTGACTTTTATGGCTGAGGTGTGACAAAGCAAATGGCCCTGTTGTACAAGAAGCTGGTGAGGTTGATGTGAATCTGGGTTTTGAAACCGTTATCCTGGTAAGTTAAATCTTCATAACATGGAGGTACTGCCATTATGGATGACACCCTTTTTTAAATTATTTTGCTGAGTTTTCCTTAAATTGACTTATCACTGTGGTTGCCAAATACAGAAATTCAGTGTAAAGCTTTCCCAAACAAGCACAGATCAGATACAAACTACTACACTGGCTTTGTTTAAATTATTTTGTTGATCATCACTACTTCTGTCTTGCTGCTTTTGACTAAATGGCTTCATTTGGATCAAAGCAGGTTTTATCAGATGCAATTCTTTAATAATACAAGAGCTCTTGAGCTGCTTTTATGGTCTTTTACTCCTCACTGAGTTACTTGGGAAGAGATGTGATAAATCCCGCTCTGGAAAACAAGCTGGAAAGAACGAGCTCCAGGAGAGGAGACAGACCATACTTACAAGTGAGAAGAGGGGGTTGAAGTCCATGCTCTAAATAGTGCCCTGATAAGGCAAGAATTATTCTTGAGATGAGTCACTGGTACTTGCACTAGACTGCAGCACGATTTTATGCAGATGCTAAAAGTATTTTAAAGAAAAATTGACTATTAAACAGCTAAAATTTTTATTTGTACTCTGTGCAGTTGACCTTAAGGCTGGCTCCCCTTACAGCAGTGCCCTTTTGGCAAATCCAGTTGTGCATTTATTCCAAAAATACAGTTCCTCAAAAACATTGCAGACTTTATCCAGCTACTGGAATTGGCTATGCCAAAAACTGTGTGTTTTGCTGCTTTCAGTATTTCCTTTCTCAGTTTTGTGTAAATAAAAACGGGGGACTTGAAATTATGGGGTGGGTGGGGTGGAAAAAAAAAGCTCGACAAGGTTATCTCTGCGTGCTGTTTTCTGTCTTGAGGGTTTTGGTACTGTTTCAGATTGATTAGTTCAAGGATGCTGTGCTTGGAGAGGAGAACTGACTTGCTTTTCTTCCCAATGCAGGCTTGCTCCTCAAAAAAGTCAGGGGTTGGGCAATGGCAAAATGCCGTGGTGTTTTAGAGACTCTTCCTTTTGAATGCAAGATCTTTCCAACAAAATAGTGTTGTCATCAGTTTGGTACTACATGCTTATAATTACTGTGTAATTATAAAGAAATACATAAAAACTTTGACTAATTATGTTGCAGAAAAGGGTTATTTGTGCTATCATGGCATCTTAAAAGTATTTCAAAATGACTGAAGTTGAAAGAAACATTGATTTAACAGGGTGTTGTTCTAAGGACAAAATGCCTGGTTACAGGGAATATTTTGTACTGAAACGTGCTCGGATGTGGCCATGTGGTTTTTTTCCTTTATATATGTGTGGGGTTGTTTTTTGTTTTTTTTGTTTTTTTGGTTTTTTTTAAGAATGCAGCCAGTTGCTTACTTGGATTGCTTTAATTCGTAAGTGCTTATGTCTTCAATTTGATGATCTCCCCGCAAATGGATTGATTTAATTTTGCCAAATGTCAAGGAAAAAAAAAAGGCAAACATCGAGTTTGTAAACTTTTTTTATACATTAAAATATGTACAAAATTAGAAGTGCCCTGATATAAAACACTTAATCTTGAGATTATATTTAGCAAAAACCCATCATTTACATATCTCTGTAAGTTCAAAATGTAACTTCTTACAATCCCTCTCATTACCAACAGAGGCAATAAAGCTCCAGTGAAATTGCCATGACTGAGGTTTGTACTGCATTGTTTCAGTGTATTATTTGTAAAATTTATTTCTGGAATGTGCTTTTAGGGAGTGGGGGGGAAAAAAAGCATGGAATACATGTGTTCTGCATAAAGTACAGTTCAGGGCAAGTCTTTCTTTTGGGTGGGGGAAAAAAATCTAAAAGCTGCTTCTCCACCTTGCCTGTTGCTTGTTCCCAATGTCTGCAAGTCCCACCTGCAGCAGATCCTCCCAGCTGTGCAGGGAGACACCACACACTGCAGTGGCTCAGCTCTGCCTCAAGTACTGCAGGAAAGCCACTCCTTATTGATCAGCCTGTTAATAGGTAACTTATGACTTGCCTCAAAACTGTTTTACAGTGAAATCCATACTGACACATCCTTATTTAAGAAAGATATAATTTTTTTTAAGAATGCATTTAATAAACTTTTGTCATTCACACTTTTATTTAAATAATGTTGCTGGAAGTCTCTGTAGATTTTATTTGAGGATGGTAAATTGTCTGGGTTGGCTTTTAAACAAATACCAGTGATGCCCTGCAGGCCTGAGCTCGCCAGCAGTTGCCCACACCATTAAATACTTGCTGTAATTATAATTTCATCTATCAAAAATAGGCCTTACATTTGTAAATATGAAGCTGCTTTAGTACCAATGTTTACTAAAGCAGAAGTATCTGCAGAAAATAAACACCAAGAGTTTTGCTCCTGAATAGGCACCTGTACCTGACCATTTGAACTGGCAGAAAACTCGACAGCCAGCTTCTGGAATTGTCAGCAAAAGCTGCCTAAATGCAATTTGAATGTTTTGCATGAAACCGCAGCCGTGTCTTTTCTAAACTCAACTCTGTGTTTGTGGAATATACAAATTCAAGCCTTTTTCAGTGTTCAGAGGACAACTGGCAGGAGTCTGAGGGATAAATCAAATTATGGCGAGGAACCTGGGAGGGTGAGATGAGGGGCTGTAAGAATTGTGTGGGGAGAGGCCCAGGTTTGTTACCTTCTTTTTCTTGCTGGTGATTTCTCTCCAGCCCTGCTCCTGACTGTTCCTAGGCCAGGGTGCAGCCAGCCTGGTTTTGCTCTGCCATCTTTACCAGTTACATAATTAAAACAATGACTCAGCTAGAAGTGAAAATTTTATTTAATAAATATAATTTCCATAAACCATTTTCAAAACAACTACTGACCAAGCTGTACAAGGAGCAAGCACACAGCCTCGCTGTCAAAGGAGCAAAAAGAACATGAGGCAGCCACAGTGTCAGAGGTCCAAAATTCTTTGTATTACTTATTGCTCATTTCCAGTAGGCAACACCCCTAATCTGCCTAAAATTAAGGATCAACAGCTTTTAAAAGATACTTGCAGAGATGAAACCATTTGTTTTTTCCTGCAAAGAAGCAAGCTCAATCCCTCTTCAGTAAAAAAACAGGAGGCTAGATGATGATTTATTTTTGTATGCATAAAACCTGAAATCTGTCATAAGGACTGCAACTAGGAATTGTAAAAATATATTCTTTGAGATACAAATTAAGATCCTCCTGGAGCAATGTGCGCCTCATTTTTAACCCTTTTCAACTGCACGCTCCACAGATCATCTTTTTTCCTGTTGTCAAAACGTAAAAGGGTGAGAACCTGCTGCAGTTTGAAGGAATTTCCTTGAAAACTGCTGAGGAGAGATGAATAAAGCCCCAGGCCTCGGAGGTGCTGCCGGGGTCTCTGACAGCCGAGCCAAGCGTCGCTCTGAGCCTGCGGGAGCTGCGCGTTTGTGTCCCGGAGCTGTTCCCCCGCGGGGACGCGGAGCGGCTCAGCCGGAGCCGGGCGGCGGCAGCAGCGGCACCAAGGTCCCCGAAGGAGCAGCAGCACAGGCGGCTCGGAGGGCTCTGAGCCGGTCCTGACGCCTTGGGAGCAGCATTGAGCTGAAGGGAGAGAGAAACCCATAGGAAGCAGAAGCCTGGCACAGCCCCGGAACATCCCTGGCACACTCCCAGCACATCCCTCGCACACCCCAGCACATCCGTGGCACATCCCTGGCACATCCTGGCACACCCTTGGCACATCCCCGGCACACCCCAGGCACATCCCTGGCACAGCCCTGGCACATCCCTGGCACACCCCTGGCACATCCCCGCACACCCCTGGCACAGCCCTGGCACATCCCAGGCACATCCTGGCACATCCCTGGCACACCCCCGGCACATCCCCGGCACACCCCTGGCACATCCCTGGCACATCCCTGGCACATCCCTGGCACATCCCCGGCACAGCCCTGGCACATCCCCGGCAGGAGCTGCCAGAGCATCCCCGCACCCCCGCCCTGCTCCAAAGCAGAGCAGAAACCAAACCGAGGCACGGGGAACAAAGGGCAGAAGCAGGGAACGTGCGAAACAACCAACAATAAAAACATTTGCAGCAAAAAAGCCCAGCCCGGAGCTGCAAAGCAGAGTCTGGCTGGGAAATCATTTAGGAACGGGATAAAGGCTCAAATGAGGCCCTGGTGAAAGGTTTGCCCAGCTCTAGGAACGGCTTCTTTAAGCAGTGACATCTGTGTAACAATCTGTGTAAAAAAGCAGTGGTGAGGGCAGTGACAATGGTGAGGTATGAGGGATTCTACACCAAAAAAAATAATAACTTCAAAATAAGTAATTCAAAAGCACATTTTGCTTGAGCACTCTGGAAGACTGAATTTTACCAAAATCACATATTTATAAGTACAGCAATAGCAGATAGAAAACTGAAAAATAATTTAGGCTGCAGCTTTGAGACACTTCTAGCACTAGAAAAATTATATTTTATTCCTATAAGAAATTATAGGTGCTTAATATGCATTCTAAGTTGCATAAGCTTTTCTCAAATATTTCTGAAAATGAAAAACCAATGTTTTCAGCATTCCTTCCTTTGAAGCTCCTGTTCCCCCTTCCCTGCTGTAATCTTAAAAAATACAGAGTATTTTTAAACAGAATCTTTACATTTTAGTTTTTGAACCAATTCAGAACATCTCGGGTTTTTTTCCACTGCATCCTCTTAAAACCATGAGTTTGGCAAACTAAAATTTTCCAAGTAACAAAACCACCCCTGTTTTTCCCAGAGGCAGAACTGACCTGCAGAGAACGTGATCCCATGGAGAAGGTGCTTCCTTGTGGACACTGCATAGTAAAGTGAGTGCACACTACTCTTGCTTTGAACTACAAACATCTGCTACAGGCTTTTATGGATTTCAAGGCTAAAAGGTAAATAATAAAACTTTTCCTCCCCTTAGCAAAGCCTCCCCCACTTGTTCACATTTGCCGTGGGAGGTAAATGCCAGCATTACACTGAATTTTTAACTGGATTGTTCAGTTTCCCTCATGAAGGACTCTGCACTGTGCCCAGGGCACACTGAACTGGCTCCTACACTTCAGCTATCAAAGAAATACAAAAAAATCTTTCTTCCTTGAATAGGAGCATTTTTAAAAGATTTGTGATATCAACACAAAACCCCGGTGACTTCCACACAAAATATTTGTCACACCAAAAAGTCTGTCCTCAAGCAAACCACATCTATGCTCTTACTCAATGAGACATTACTGACTTAGATTTACTGCAAATAGAAAAATATACCTTGGCCGAGGGATGGATTCTTAAGTCCTTCCTGAATTGTTTAAATGCAAGTTTCTTCGGTAACCTTACAAACACTGGGAAAAGGGAAAGCAGGGGGAAAGGGAGGAGAGGAGATGGAAGGTTTTAAAGAAACACATCATGAGTGCAAATTATTCTTCAAATACACGACTGCGCTGCTTTTGTGCAAATCTACTCAACACACTGGTGTGGTAAAAGCCAAAATACATCACCTACAGAGCTGGGCCACTGGAAATGCTTGGAGTGGGGTTTTGGGCAAAGCCTCTGCTCCCCTCACACAAGGAACAGGCTCAGGGCAGGACACACGAACCACACACTGATGGATGGAGGGATGAGGGCACACGCTCACACACACTGACAGGACAATGCTGGGCCTGGCACGGACAAACAAGCACTGCTGAAAGGTGAAACACTCTGGCTGAGGTGTAAAATACAGCCAAACAGCAGATATCTGATTAGAGTAGTAAATAATTCTGCATTTCCTAGGTATCCATGGCAGCATGACAACTCCTAGGAAGAGAAACTACTAGGAAGAAAATTACTATTTTAAACCCAGGTTTAAGATAGATATGAAATTTAAAGGAAGTTAGAGGAGTTGGTGAAACTGTATTTTGCTACTACTTGCAGATCTGGAGGGGACTGGATGGATTATTGCCTCTCCAGCTGGATCCAGGTTCTCAGCCCCATGCAGTGGGGTTAGTCACATGTTCATACCTGCTGCACGAGAAGACAAAGCTCAATTTTAGTGTTTCTTCATCCCCTGGGCACTCGCTGGGGGGATCTAGTGCACACTGACATTTTCAGCCTCAAGCTTCACTGCACTCAGGCATCTGAGGACATGATACAAAAATGCACTATGAACGTTGAATTAAACACTTATTTAAAAGGAAAGTTTGCTGTATTTTGTTCCTTCTTCTTGTCTCGTAATTTATTTTTAAAGCTTCTTAATTTCTCAACTGATCTTTACCTGTAACAGTGGGGAAAATCCCTTGTGTGCAAGTTCAAGTCACTAGAAATTTAACAATGAAGTTGCAATGACCATTTCTTTCCCACGCAGATGTTGCCTTGAGCACTGAGATCTTGTAAACTCCACGGTACCTGCAGCCTTCAGGTCTGAGGGAAGCTGCCAGGCACTAATGCAAAAACAAAGCTCCAAGAGGAGAGCTGAAATAATCCCAGTTAAAGTCACGGGCAGGAAAATGAACAGCAGAGCTGTTTGTAGGTCAGGAACATCTGAAGGATGTGATCCCTGGAAAGCAGGACCTGTTCCTTTGCTCATTGAACCTGGGAGAACTGGGGATGACAGGAGGGGTGCACTGCCCTGGCAGCAGCCCAGTTACAGTCAGCCAGGTTTGCAGTGGCCCAGATTTGCAGTTTTTACCCAGAGCTAACTTTAAGATGGATCTTTACACTTTCAAGTGTCTGAAAGGACAAGTATCCCAGTTATTGATGGGATGTCACTGTCAGAGGTGACAAAAGGGGGTGTCCTGGAGCAGCAGCACTTTTCCCAGTCCCCAGCCATGAACAGCTCTGTTCTAAGGCACCTCCACTTCATCTCCCACATCCCAGGACAAGCAGTGGTTCAGCCTCCCTGGCTGAGGGAACAGTGAAATGTTGCTGCTCCCCAGCCCCCAGCATGCAGACAGGTCTGTACTGGGCCAGGGAGGCACCTGCAGGATGCACCACCCAGAGCTCCAACTGTGCAATTGGTTTTTATTGGCATACTTAGGTATCAAAACATTGCCATCAAGGTCTCGGATCCTTCCGAGAGACGAAGATAATTAAGCATTAATTATATCTTCAAAGTACAACGTGACCAAATATAAATACATGAAAAAGAACAAAACATGCAAAAATTCCCCAACTTTAAAATGATTAATAATTCAAAAATTTATGCTAGTGAGACTTCTGCTCAACCCGCCAATTCTTAACAAATTTTTCCATGTCAGGATCCAGAACTGTTAATAAAACATACAGGGCATAATAAAAGATGACTGGTTTCTGAATTGGACTTTAGGAGAACACTGAGCTGCTATATCCCTTATTATTACAAATTACTGATTTGTCACAGTTAAGTGTTTTTCAAAGCAATGACTAATATATTAGCCACTCATACACCAGCATAAATATTTGAATTGCATTTAACTCTCAAAAATTACTAAAATGATTGCTTATAGAATAGAGTAACTGTCCACAGAAGTAACAAACTGCTAAGACAGCATCTGCAAGACAGCTCAAAATGAATGTGTGTTTAAAAGGAAGGGTCATCATTAAAAACACAACTTTTAAAAGTTTAATTGTGCAGATTCAAATTGATTCAAATCGGATCACTCAAATTTGGGAGGAGAAAGATTTCTGTCATTGCCCTACAGGGGTATCTCCAGTATTAAATGTAGGATTCCAATCTGCTCATACAGCAACAAAAAGGATCAAATGGTCTGAGGTAAAAGCATTCCTTAAAAAAAAACCCCAAAAAACAAAAAACTTATTTAGCAATTTGTAGATATAATTAGAAAAATTCCTGGAAGCAATTGCAGTGCAGATTTTGCCAGGCCAGGCAAGCCCTGGCTGCACTCAGGAGTCCTCTGGGCCTTCCTGGGGCAGCGCCGGACACTGAGCTCGCCTCAGCACCTGCTACAGGTGTGTGAGCGCCACAGGGCTTCCACAAGGCACTCAAAAATGTCCCTGTCAGCAAGTGGCTGAGTCCATTGTGGAGAGAGTCAGGATGCTCCTGTCGTTGGCATAGAAGGGATCCGTTGAACTCCATGATCTAAAGTAACAATAAAAAAAAAGTTTGGCTGACTGGGAACTTGTATTTGTACTGGGAGGTGAGGAGAAAAGTCTATGAGAGCAAAAGATAGAAGTGTTGCAAGAGCAGGCAGATTTACCTCTTTAAAGGACAAGTGCACTAATTTCATGTAGGTACCTGCAGTTCATTCAGACCTTTGGAAACAGAGGCCAATTCATGCCTGCTGTGTAATCAGCACACAGCTACAGCTATTTCCATCACCATAAATTAAAACAACCAGAGGTTTCTATGCCTGTTTTGCAGCTGAAGTTTCAGTGCTGTGCCTCGGGAGGCTGGGAATGCTGCCTGTGTCCAGAGGCACCGTGAGGCTGCTCCAGCAGAGCCCTGTGGAGCACAGCCAGCCTGGGAACCCAGCACAGCCGTGTCCCAGCAGGAAACCTCCACAATGCCTGAGCCTGGGGGAGGCAAAACTTATCTACGGCCAGGAACCTGTTCCAGCCCCTCCTCTTACACTTCAGAACATCAGGAAACCACCCTGCTGTCACAGCTGCTGACTCAGAGGGGTCTCTCAATGTCTTTCACTTGATTACTGCTTGGGAAGAAATCCTGTTCTTGGCTGCACAGCATTCTAGGACTGTATGGGAAAAGTGAGAAGTTTGGGAGGCAGGAAATAAAAACACAACGAGCCTATCCTCCAAATTAGGCTCTGTCAGAAATCTGCTGTTTCTTTAGAACTGTTCCATCCAGTGCCTTGACACAAGAACCACTAATGGGAGACCAAACAAATTAGCAATGATTCCTACTGTACAAGAGATGTATGTGATCCAGCATTCTTAATATTTTAGTGACTGACAAGTCGACAGACAATTTAATGGAACAGACAGACAAAATGCATTTTAACATACCACACCACACATTTTATATTCTAACTGGCTAATGAAGTTATAGAAAATACTTCTCAAATACATTTTACAAGCAGTAAATTAAGCACAAGAGACTATATTCCTGTGGCCCACTACTCCAAGCATTTGTATCACTTTGATTCATCAAAGTTTTTATCAAAATTTGATACAAGGTTTGATTTCATGTTATCATATTTGACAGAATATCGTATTTGACAGAATATCAGGAGCAGAGAATACAACACAAGCTGCCTACAGCAATGTTATTTAAAACAGTGCTCTTCATTCTACAGCACTTGCACAAACAACATATTCGTCAGCATCACTTCAATCAACAAAAATAATTTGCAGCTACTTCCTGGTTGAATATTTAGCTGTTTTATAGAGTACAAGTACTCAAAAGACCATCCTGCACAATCTTCTGGAGATTTAGGTAAAAAACAAAGCAGCTCAAGCTCATGAACAAAGCCTGAACAATTTTAAAATCACCCAATAGTTTTCTTAGTTGTACCTTTGGCATTTCACAACTTGTAACTACTTCACGTGATTTAAGCAATTAGTAATTAAAAAAAAATTAATAAAGACTTTCTCATATTAGCAAAAATGTTTAAGGGAGAAAATGGTCCCTTGACTTTTAGACCAGGTTGTCAATACTGAGTGGAAGGAGCTGAAATCATTGGAGAAAATAAATATGACTGACTTTAAAAAAAATCTCTCTTCTATTTGTACTGTACATATATTTAAGTGAAACTAGAAGATTGTTCAGAGCAATTTCAACCAGAAGCAGATGCAAAATCCACAGAACTTCAAGCCCTTAGTGTAGCACCAAGATAGTTTTGCATATTCCTTGAAATTAATCCTTATGTCTATGTTCTGAGAACTCTAAAATAATTTGGCTAGATGGAACTTCATCTGAAAACTACATGAGGTAAGCAGAAAAGAAATCTAACAAAAAGCAGTCTGGAAAAAACTGTTTAACATTCTGTCAAATACGAGTTAGCTTCAGTAAGGATTTTTAAGTTCTTAAGGAAAGAAAGTTTGAGTGGAACAAAGAGAAAATTGTAAAACTGCAAATATATTGCAGAAAACAAAACACAGAATACCTACCTTATAAGAAGACTACAGGTTACTAAGGCAATTGTTAACTAACAATCTGCCCTAATTAGATAACAATAAGTGAAACAAACTAGCATGAGAAATTCCTCATTTGGAAAGCACAGTTTTACAGAGAAGTGAAAAAAACCCCAGAAAAGTTAGAGCAACTGCTACCAAAATGTTGATTTTTAGACCAATTAAATGCTCACCTTGTAGATTAAAAATTCTATTAAACTGTTTATTTTACACATCATGCCCGCTTTCTACACAGCAAGGTTGAATTAAAAATGTACTTAATAGTAACAGTTCATTTTTCATATGGAATGAAACTTCTTGCATACTCATACCCTAGATTTGTAGAAACATTGAATAAATTTCACAAGCAAGCCAGAAGAGAGAGACTGACTGAAAGCACAGACACTGTGTTCAACACAAGAGTTCCAACAGAGATGAGCTACAGACCAGGCAATACCTAAAGGCAGAATCAGAGCTGACAAAGCTGTCAGGGTAAATTACCCACACGAGATTTGATACCCAGTGAATGATATCACAACCTTTAACTGAAAGAGACAAAGTTCTTCAAATACAAAATGAGTTTCCTTGAAAATGTGTGAAATTCAGTGTTTTCAGGTTTGCCTTTTGACCAATGAAGGACCATGATATCATTCAGGGACAGAGATTACGATGTACAAAAGACTATTTTTATTTCTACCCCCAAATATTTCCATATTTGTTTGCTATCCCTCTTTGTTTGGAAATGGGGAGATGGCACATGAGAGGATTCAGTAGAGCTCCTCTCCCAGTTGGGCTGACTGCAAGAGCAGAGTTGCTCTGCAGACATGTTCAATTACTCAACATGCTTTTACCCCACTGACATTTGTTTCACGTGTGATTTGTGAAGGAAAGATTTATTTAGCACATACTTTGGAATGGCACACATGATTTTGACAATATACCTTCTGGAACCCAAAAAACATTGAAAATTCTTAGAACCTGAAGACTCTGTTCTGTCAATCACTCTGATTTTAGAAATAGATTATAAAAGTTATACTACAAAAATATTTCATCTTCATATCAATCAATGGCTGAAAGATTTAAAGGCTCTCCTCCTAACAATGAAGTTAGATTTAAGGGGGGGAATGTGAGCCTTTTGTGTACCTTCAGGAGTAATGCAAGCTCCAAGGTAAATATTTGGAGGTTGTACATCAAGAACCAAAGGGAAAAGTCTTTCGACTTTACAAACAACTCCTGATTTGTGAAGGCAAAAAAGTAATCATAAAAAGGAGAACAAAAACAGGAGCAAGGCGTGATTTTCTAAAGAGAAGAATGTACAAATCAAGAGAAATTACGATAGATACAACACAAGAGCTTGTAAAGCCAAACTAAACACTTTAACAGAAATCTTTCAAAAACTGTTTTTCCCCTCCACATCCCAAAAGAAACTCAAAAAGAAACAAGAAGCTAATCTTTTAGGATGAAAAAAGTACAATAAAGAGTTGCATTTTCTACTTAGATAAGCAAAACCTGCAGCTGGTTTCTAGACATCTATTGCTGCAGGCTCATCGGGTTCCAGTTTATAGGAGAATCGTCTGCAGCAAAGGCTATTGAGAGAAATGCCACACCTGCTGACCCGCGTTGGGCTACACCTTCCCATTAGTCGTTCCAGCATTCTTCTAACAGATGTGCATGCTGTTTCCCCATCTGAGAAGCAGCACATGGAGTCCAAGCAGTTGATACCTGAACCTGCCTCAGTAAGCTGGAAAGGAAAAAAAAAAAAAAACAAACAGAAAAAAAAGAAAAAAAAGGAAAAAAAAATCAGTACTCACAAATTCTAGCAATGAAGATGTTACCAAAAACCACATAGGAGGAGCGGGTTTTCTTAGCTAGAGTGTTGAATATCTTTCAGTTTTATAGAACTACAATAATAATATTACCACTCCCTAAGGTCTACATACACTAACATTTGTTCTTCCAAAGGTTTGACTGCAGCCTCGTTAAGTGCATGGAAATAGCCTGGCACTGCATCTGCCTAACTCTGGAAATCCCCTCCACCAAACCCCACAGCAGAGCACATGCACTTCCAGCTGGGATGCCTGATTTACCTGCAACAATTTATATCAGCTCAGCCCTATTTTAAGGGAAATTTATCAAGACAAAGCTTCAGGCTGCAGAATACAACACAGCAATTTGGTCCCAAGTAATTCTTCCTCAAGCACACAATGCAGCTTCCTAGAATAATTGACATTATATCACTACCATAGCTACCCTTGGCTTGGTACAGAACAAAAGCACATTCCTGATTGTGTGAACATGGTTTATCCAAAAGCAAACAAGGCTGATGTCAGAAAGGTTCAGTCATGTTCATGCCAGCATAGAGAATAATTCAGCATTAGCATAATAAACTCTTTCAAAGCTCATGTTTTGTAGGTGAGGAAAAAAAGGAATAAAAGAAATAAAATGAAAAGGAAGCAGCAACAGATGTATGGGTGTAAGTGCCACCTACCAGTGTGCTCCTCTACAGCACTGCTGCACCAACTGCAGCATAACTGGAATCTCCTGCTTCTGCAGAGAGAATATCCTAAACTGACTCAGTACCATTCTAAAGAGAAATAAAAATGTGAAGTGTGGGGATGTTTTTTAATTTAATTTTAAACTCTCCATGAGAGCATCCTGTCAAACAAATACTAAACACAAAGCTGAACTTTACTCTCTCCTCACACCAGGAGAAAGAAGAATTCTGGGAGGAGGCATCTTAGTCCATGACAGGACACAGCTCACTTAAGACCTTCCCACAACTTTTCACTGTGACACTAAAGGTCACTGACTGTTGTCTGAAGATTCTATTTTTGAGCCTGAATTTATTCCACGCCACCCACAGTTGCCAAAAACTGCAAGGAAAGCAAAGAACCTCAAGAGTTCCCTATGGGAATGGTTTACTATGAGTGGAGACACTCTTTTTCCTGATCCCCTCAAAACAAGCAGCTGGACACATTTACAGCTTCACAACAGAAGAACAGCCTGCACAACAAAGAAGAGGCAGCTAACAGAAACAAGAGGCTTTTGGAAATACAAGAGAAAAATCTCAGCTGGTAGGACAAGAAGGAACACACACAGAACTGGTGTTTGTTTGCAGCACCTTTTCCTGTGCCTGCCCCTTTCTCAGCCCTGTGCCACACTCCCCACAGCCCCTCCAGACCTTCCCATCACACCACTCATTGTGATGTTCACACAAGTGTCACTCAGCAGCTGATGGAGTGCACAGGATTCTCCATGAACTGAGCCCCTGATCCTGTGGATGCTGCAGCTCAGAGGCTGTGGCTGAGTACAGGCAGAACACACTCTGACTCACACACTCATCTGGGGGGTCTTTGGGACACAGAAGGAACATTTACTGAGACAATGAACTTCTGTACCTGAGAGGCAGGAGCAGAAGATGTGCAAGTGACAGGTCTGAAAGGGGTTCTGGTCAAAAGACAAACAAAACAAAACACATCTCAACAGAGCCTGAGCCCCTGAACACCCTCACATGATGATCACCGTGACTGGTCCCAACTGCAGTGCCACAGAAGATACCAGAATCAGGAACTGCACAATTTGCAGCACTGCAGTACCAGCAAATATGACCTTCAGAGCCACCTCAGACTGTGCTGTGACACAAGAGATTACAGAGAGCAGAAGGAATTCCCATTTGGAGGCCAGCAGGGAAACCCCTGCTGCAGATGGAGAGACCTTCCCAGCTGTGGCCACAGCAATACAAAACTGTAACACTGCTACACTCAGGATTTCAAACAGAGTATTTAGTTCATCCATTATGCTCAAGCAGACCTTCAAATTTACTGCAGAAAGTCACATTACACTGTCTGTATGCCAGATCAGATGAACCACAGCATTTTTTTCCTTAGAATCTGCTACCCTGAGAGCCAGGAGTCCTGGATATTATCCAAAGACTGCCAGAAAGAGGAACCAAGAGTAACCCAAACAAGCTTCCAAGGAGCAAACCCTCAACTCTGGATTTTGGAGGTCTAGTGTCTCTTTTTCTGGAGAATCTCCTTTATTCTTCACAAGTTAGATACAAAAAGCAAGGATCATGCTTGAAACAATACCTCTGGAAAATTTAATATCACTTTTTAAAAAATAGCAAAGGAGACCTGACATAAGTCTGGAAACAACAATTCTTTTCTGTCCAATTCACAGTTAAGTGTAAAGAAATGCTGTGAGAACATCAGGACAAAAAAACCTAATTAAATTTTATATGTAGATATACTGTTTATCATTGCCTGGTGAACATGGATTTTTCTATTTACATCCACTACCTGGAAGGAAAATACATATGCTAGAAAGTCTCTTTTCTCATTTTCTCTCTGTGGAGGACAATTATGGTCATAATTTTATACAAAAGTAAAGCCTGGCATGGCAAGGCAGGAAGGCAAAATGTTCCCTGGAGACCTGAAACAAACCCTCAGGAAACATAAGAGAGGAGAGACAATGTTTAAAAAATTAATGAGTGTAAAGAAATACCAGATAATATTAATATTGGGTGGCAAACAAAGTATGTTCATAAGGTGAGATCTGGAATCTCAATAAACAGAATACTTCATATGAGAATGGCCCATTGGATGTAATAAATCAAAAAGCAACTGAAGTGCAGAATTAAAGAATGATTCAGCTTAATAAAGAAAAAAAACTCAAACCAACATTCTATGATGCAATTTTTCTTGCAGATATCAAAAATATGGGTACTTTGGAGATGGCTCAATGACTGTCTCTGTATGCAAATAAATGTAAATCTGTAAATAAATACACAGACATTAGGGTACAGTGGGAGTACTACCTAGTGGAGGTAAGAACTGTCGGGCAGGCAAGATGGGTCTAGCAGCTGCCTACTGTCCTCCCCTCTGTGCCTGCTTTCAGCAAAGTCACCTGCTGAGCTGACTGAACCCTTATCTTCTTCCATCTGGAAGGACAGAAAAGCAACAGATCTTATAAAGCACCATGCTTGCATTGCTTTAAAACAGTCACCATTGTTACAAGAACTTTCACAGGTCTGCTCTTGAGAGAACAAGGCAATTTACAAAGTCAAGAGGCAATTTTTATTTTTGGTGGATCAAATGCAGTTTCTCAGCACCCAAGTGTTAAAAGTGTTTGGCCTTTTAGTGTTCTATAGACTACAAGGAAACACAACAAATTTGGAATCTATCTAAAATTCTTAGAGATTCTGGAGTTTTATTTGTTTTCCACCTTCTAACAGAAAGGATCATTTCAGTTTGTTTTCTTACTGCAGGTTATTCCATATGCCACAGGACAGACATTTCAACCCAAGATTGAAATGAAAAGTCACATTGAAAAGTTGGGACTTTGAGGAATGGGGAATGTGTTTAATCCTGTGCACCACGCTAAGGGCACTGCAGGGTATTCTCCTGAGCCCAGGTCCCAGCTGCCAACATTCTGATGCCACATGGATGTTTCAGCAGATTGATATGAGATGGTTATTACTATTTCACAATTCATTAAAACTTGCTCCCTACTGTAAATCTTATCATCTTTAACCCTTAATATACTGTATACCAAAGTCCCAAACAATGTGATTTAAAATTTTTAAAGAAAATATATAAGAATGTTGAAGTCTAACAACTTCACTGCCATGATGTTTTTATCACTTATTTTTCTACTCTTTGTATCAAATGAATCTACAAGGGCCAAATTATTTCATTATTTCAAAGTCATTAGACCAAGGTTTCTCCAGGTAAGTAATATGTGCACTTTTGTGAATGAAGTCAAATCCAAAATGGTGCATTCTTCCCTCATTTCCTCATCTTCCTGTGACAGATTCTGTGGATTAGCCAACAGACCAACACCAAGCTATGCTAACACAATGAACAGGTCTGTAAAGGAGGAGATCACCCTTGATCTAAGTGCAGCACATCAGGGTGTTCTGGCACACCTCACTAGTGGGAATTCATGCTTCCAGTGAAAAAATTTTCTGGGAAATTGCACGTTCCTTACAGAAAACACAAGCTGTAAAAGGAACACAGACCTCTCTGCTCTCGACCCAACACAGCTGGGCTGGGTCAGACCTGGAAGCTGCAGGGGGAATCCTATGGAACAGGAGCTGGAGTTAAAAATATAGACAAGGAATGGAGGCCTTAAAGCCAGGGCCTGGAGCAGATCTGGACTGAGATGAAGGGAAAACCAGGCAACAACAGACTCATGAGGCTGGAGATGGGGAAAGAACAGGGTTTGGCTGTGACAAGGTAAATGCTCCAGAGCCCCGGATACAACGCTGTGCACTGACAGCCTTGTCTGTAAATAAAACCCTTCCTGGTGTCTTACACTTCCCCAGTTCTGGGTACAGTTCATAACACACTGTCCAAAGGTAGAAACTCTGTAAACACAGTTAATCCCATCAGTAAGTAGAATTAAAACATCTGTCCAAGCAACACATCTCAAATGTGGCCTAAGATTTCTGACAGTTCTTACAAAGCACAGGACATGTAGACACAGATGGACACAGAACACTTCCTTTACAGATAAAAACATGGAATGAGATACAGTGGGACCCAGTTAGTACCCTGAGGTACACATTTCACACATTCCAAGAACAGAAGAGGCAGCTGTGAAGGAAAGCAGTGCTCTGCCAGACTCCAGTGAAGCACAACACCTGCACCTGCCTGTGCTGCCTCATTTCCTCTTCATCCCACATTCCAAAAGCGACAGTGAAGTTCAGAGGCAAGACTTTAACAGGCACAAAGGACTGCA